ATACAATACTTTAAAGTGTGCGTGGTGACAACTAAAAAGGTTTCACATTCAAAGAAACAAAACCACACGACAAACTGCATGAAAAAAACCAAAACACAAAAAATAATTTTATTAAAAAAGCAATTCAAGGGCACCAAAAGTAGACAAAACGACTAAAAGCGTGAACAATTTACCTTCTTTTCTCATCTTCTGCCGAGGGATCTTCTGTCCTGATTGAGAGAAGGATCACAGGTCAGGTCGTGGCCCCGAAACTGACAGAAACAATAAGGAAAAAGTGGCAGCAGACCCTGGACTGTGGACAAGTGTTATGCTTGGCTACAGAACATTTAAGGTACGCTGCAGGGAACTCATTTCCTGGCGGCAACAACCGATGATGGGGCAGACTGAATTGGCAATTATCATTTCAGCCGAGCGGTTGAACAACCAGCTCCCTGTGGCCTTGGGTTTGTTTTTGTTTGGTTGGTAAGAGCTGACACGAAGCTGCACCCAAAAAAATGAAATAGATCTCAGCTGTGTGATTTATTTATATATTTTATTTATTTATTAGCTTACTCTTCTGTTCCCCATGCAAAGCCAGAGTTTGTGCACGCGTAGTTGTGCTTTCTCTATCTATTGAGGGCTCTACACTCTAAATCCAGAGTAAAGATCAGGTTAACATGCTTGGGAACGATGGTTCTTCGAAAAAAAAAAGAGAAAAACAAGAGTAGGCAGGGATTTGTGCGGATGCACTTGTTTGTGATATTTCACCATGTTGTTCAGTTCTAAGAAGTTCTGATGAATGAGTCAGGGCTCTTTAGTCAGCTCTCATGGGCCCTAAACTGGCTGCTCAAAGGGCTTGCAAGAACATGCTGACAAGGTGGGAACACAACACAACAAACACACACACACACATGCACACCTATCTTTGTTAGGACCTTAAATGATTTGATTATTATAAGCCTTGACTAAATCCTAACAGGTTCATAAACAATCCTTTTTAGTGCCTCAACTGTTTTAAAACCTAAAGTTTATTCTACTCTTTAACCAAAACTTAATATAAGATGATTTGTCTAACCAGGAATGGTTTTTAGTCCCAAAGAGGACTGCTGAGTCATTGAAAATCCACATTTATTCCAGAAAAGATCCCACTGAGGTTTTCAACGTGATGCACAAAACTCACTGCTTCCAAACAGTTCTTGGAAATGCTTTAAGAAATGCAAATAACTGCTAATAAGAGAAAAAAAATACTCCAATATCAAGACGATCAATCAAATTTTCTGAATAAAACTCTTCAGGCAGAAAACAGGTGCTTCTTGTTGAGAGGCACAACAGTCAGTTCTAATTTCTTCGCATTCTGATGAATTAATCTAAATGCTAGCAAACACCTCCATCTGGATAACACACTCCTGTCTGTGAGGGTCTCTGGGCCTGACGTCATCAGCCGTCATGGCTGTGTGCTCTGTGTTTCCATGACTGGTTTGTTTGTTTGTCACTCGTGTAGTTCAAATTAAAGCAAACTAATTAGAAATAACAACAATTGTATTCTACAAAAGTGATCATGTCTGAAAGCAGAATAAAGAATTCCTGCTGCAGACGTGAACAGGAAGTGATGACAAAGAGTCTGCATGTAAACAGATTGTTGTGACAACAGAGAGTAGTGAAGAATCTGTTTGTTTGGATTCTTATGAGTCTATCAGAAAGAAACAAAGAAAAATTTAAGTTTATGTGAGTAAAGACCAGGAAGTTCACCTTTTTTTAGACTTCCTCTTTGTCGTCACTTCCTGTTTCACTTTGGCTGTGACAAGTGGAAAAACATAATGCTAATTTTGTGACAAAATGGGTAAAGTTGTGTATTAGTGTCACATTTCCTAAATATTAAGGTGTTTTCAGCCACTTTTTGTATTTGTATTCATGTTGCACAAAAAATGTTTAAGAATTATTAATAATAGCAGATATATTAAAGCTAACTTTGTAAAATGTTGAGAGCTGAAGGCCAGAGATGCTGGCTTCATGAATACCTGAAATCATGAGAAAATGTCTCATACTTACACATCTTTGGAAGCTTCTGCAGGACCTGAAAATAGACAGAATGACAAGATTGGTCTTTAATTTGAAATTTATTCAGCAAAGCATGCTTTTCCTTAAACAAGCAGTAAAATATTTGCTCAGCGTTCAGCAATGTGATGATTGTTCCTGACATGTTTTTATGAATACAGCTATCTCTTTGTGAAGTTATTCAATCAAAAATCCTCCAAATATCAAACGTTCTGGTCAGACTTCACTCCTGAGGTGTAAAGATGTGGATTTTTGTACATGTTTATTCTGCCCTCGGGCCTAAAATCTTTATTAATCATGGACTGGTTGCAGGCTGTTTCAAGCTATGAACTTTTGTTGACCATCTTCTCTAAGCTGCACCTGACATGAGAACAGTGACGCACAAAAATAAGTCACCCCAAATTAATCCTAACAGCTTTGAGTTCTGTGTCACCCCATCTGGTTTGTGTAGAACACCACAGAGACATGATAAAAATGAAGTGAATCAGTGTCAAGCTGACATTTGCAGAAATGACATGAAGGAAGTGAGGTGTTAGAAGCCACTATAGTTGTGTGCACATTACGACTATCACCAGTCTGTAACACACTTTGGTGGCTCAGTTAGTGGCGCTGTTGCCTCTTAGCAAGAAGGTTGCCAGATTGAATTCCAACCCAGGACCTTGGTAGAGTTTGCATGTTCTTTCCATGCACGAGTGGGTTTTCTCTGTGCACTCTAGTTTCCCACCAACAGACCAAAAACAAGACTGTTAACTAACTGGAAACTCAAAGTTGTCCTTTTGTGAGTGAGACAGAGAATGGTTGTTTGTCTCTATGTGTCCCTGTGATGGACTTGCAACCTGTCCAGTGTGCCCCTCACACTGTGTCTTCTGGATATGGGTACCAGTGACCCCCTGAAAGGAAAAGGCAGGTTAAGATGGATGGAATTGAATTGATATTAATAAAGAAAAGCCACATGAACCAATAACGTTGACGTTCCTATTCCCAAACCAATCATAACACACAAACAGCAGATTACATTTGAGTAGCAATTAAAACGCCTCAATTTAGTAAAGGTTTGGATGTTTGAATTAAAGTATATTAACCCCTTAACAGTGTTTGTTCCACCAGTTGGGGAAAAAAACAGTGCGGTTTCTGCCTTTACACTTTTCCATATGCTACTGAAGGGCTTTTATTTTGAAAACCAGAGTGTCAGACGACATCCTTCAGTTCTTACCTTTAGTTTGACATGCTTACTGAAATATTGAAAGGCCTTTAAGGAATTCCAGGGGCCACTTTTAAGGGGTTAAGGAGTATTGTGGGTTTTTTTTTTACTCACTCTGGATAATTGGTGTTTTTTAATTAAACTTTTTTTTTCTTTAGCTGAAGGGAAGCAGGCTGCATGTCTCTGTGA